TCAGCCACTGCAGCACCGGGACAGAAAACACGGTCTGAAGGAGGGAACAGGAAGTTAAGCACAGGACTCGCAAATCGAAAGGTAAGGATATTTTTCACATCTACGACAAGTACAAGAAAACAGGGAAAGATAAAGGAGAGAGAGAGAAAATGGAAAAGCCCAGAATATTAGCCCAAGTACAAGTCCAAAAAACTTTTTTGAATGGCGGAGGAGCTCAGAGTTAGCTACGCCCATGATTAAAGGGTATTTTTGGATATGAATTTTTCAAAAGCTTATAATGGGCCAGGAAAAATTGTACATTAGATTGATTTAGATTGAAAAATTCTGAAAAAAATCTCTCAAAATATTAGGTTGTTTAACTAATTCGATGCAACTCGATTCTGTAACAACTCGAACAGCTTCAAAAGTTTGATGAAAGAATCTCTTTGTTTCCTGCGCCACTTCGTCGTCAAAAAGGAATTTTAAAAAATTGAGCCGACCATCCCCTTGATTTGCTCTTGCTGGCGGTACCATACTTTTTGACATAAATCACTTTATAACATTTCTACCGATCGTTTGAAAAGAAAACGAAATTTTTCTACACCTAATGGCATATCGCAAGCTTGGCAATGAATGCTCTGTTTCCCTACAGTAGTCCTTGTGCTAGAACAATCACCCTCCTCTCTTTGGTATATGTTTTGTGGTTGAAACGGGAAACTTTAGATTTTTTGACTGAATTCTTTCAAAATCAAATGTTACCTCAAATTATTTTTTCTTTGATTTCATGAAAAGCAGATTACGATGGGAGCAACGCATTAAAGTCATTTCACATGTGCAAAAAAATTTTTTGTAACTTCTGTGCACCCTACGTGCCCCGCCCACTTGTTCTGCGCCCATTAATTACACATGATAATTGTAAAAATCAACGTGTCAATGTGGGATAGAAAAAATAGGTTACAAACGTTTGATATATGGTGGGCTGTAGGCTTTTTTGGACGAAAATGTCACAACTTGATTTTTTTCCTAACATTATAAATCGAATTCCCTTCCCAACTTTGCGAACTTTCAGCCCATCTGCTTAGCTGCTCACAGCTGCTCTCCCTACCATGGAATGGGTTGCCCGGCTGGTTACACCTGTACTCTTGATGGCCGTTGTTGTCAGATCGGTACCACTTGTCCCGATGGTTCAGCACCTGAATGGTCATGTAGTGATACAATGCCATGTCCAACTTCACACTTATGTTTCACCACTGAAGAAAATCACAGTATTTGCTGTTTGCGAGGTAAGCAAAACTC